TAGGGGCGTCCAAGATCACCAAACTTGAGGCTCACTTGCTTCCCCAGGGTGGCATTTTCACCTCAGGAACATAAAAAGCAAAGAAAGCCTGGCTTGAAATTAATATGAGGCTCTGTACAGTGTTCACCTTTTGCAGACAAGATGAGAATACATAAATTCACTCTAAAGGCAGTCTGTTCATAATCTTGCCTTAAGAATTGATAATCTAAACTTTGTTCTCCAGAAAAGAATTGTAAGAAATTATGCAATTGAAAACAAAATTTAAGGTAAATCAGACAACAAGAATGGAAGTTTTTTTTTCATGTTTATTTATTTACTTTGAGAGAGTGGGGGAAAGGCAGAGAGAGAGAGAATCCCAAGTAGGCTCCGCGCTGCCAGCATGAAGTCCGACGCGGGCCTCGATTTCACAAACCGTGAGATCGTGACCTGTGTGGAATCAAGAATGCAATGCTTAACTGACAGAGCCACCCAGGTGCCCCAAAAGATTATTTTTAAATCCATAGACTATTTGCTTTTATAGACAGCCATCACTTTGGCTGTCATTTGTACCCCAAACATTTTAATGCACACTAGAGATCTGAATCCTCACAATAGGTGTATCGGACAAAAAAAATGAATTCCAAATTTCACTTATTTATTACATATGCTCTGATTTTTTTATAAAGATTTCCTGATTCTTTACTTCATCTCCATCTTTAAATACTTGTTGCATGAATAAAGCTGCATTTACGTGCACAGTAATATAAGGTATTGTCTCTACTAGAACAATCTCCCAGTCTCCCTCCCCCACAACCTTCTCATTACGCAGTTGGTCCACTTTGCTGAGAGTTGGGTTTGATGCCTCATTCTCACCTGATGTGGGACCATACAAACTCTAGTTCTTGGTTCCCAGATTTAAAATACAGGTAGCAATACCTAAATTACTGGGTTGTTAGAGGAATTACAGAAACTAGTATATGTAAAACTAGTATATATAAAACTAGTATATGTAAAACAGAAACTAGTATATAGTATATAGTATAAGCAAGCAGATAAGTTAAATCTATCTCACATGCTATTCTGTATTGTTATTTAAGTTTTCAAAGATGGACATCAGGATCTCAGAGAAGACAGGGGTAGCAGGAATTTCTCTGGGATCTTAAGGGGTTAGGATAGGACAAGCAAAATCAAGATGAACTAACACTGCAGAAATCTGCCAAGGTTTACAGAGAGACCTAGGTGGGTGTGACTCGTCTGAATGACAATCAGTAGAACATTTTCCTTTTAAATTTCTCTTAATGCTTATTTCTATTTGAGAGAAACAAAGAACGCGAGCAGGGGAGGGGCAGAGAGAGAAGGAGAATCTGAAGCAGACTCCAGGCTCTGAGCTGTCAGCACAGAGCCGGAGGCAGGCCTCAAAGTCAAGAAAATCACAAGAGCCAAAGTGGGAGGCTTAACCGACTGAGCCACCTAGGAGCCCCTCAGTAAAACATTTTAATGTCCTCAAAGTCAGTGAAAGAAGCTGCAGAAGAAAGACCGGAGAGACCAATTCTTCTCTTAGGTCTCAACCTGCATTTAACAAGAAGTGAGGTTACTGGTCCTTACCTATGTGCTAACCTTCATATTCTCTTGGAGTAAAAGAAAACCCTGTTGGGAAAGGTGAATATTCATTCTCCCTGCTTTGAAGCAAGTGTACAAACCTAGAGTTGAAGTAGAGTGGAGAACTGAGAGACTCTTTAGGATTCCTTAAAGCAGGTCTTAAGAACTACATCATCGACAAGCAATAGCCAATTAGCAAAGAACTGAATAGCAAAGAGGCAAAATACTGCTTCTAAAAAAAAAAAAAAGTATTTAGTCATTAGTTACCCTGAACGGGTACAGTTCCAGAGATCTCAAGAAGCCTGACCCCCACCTCCCCTGCACAAACGACTGGAAAGACATCCTTTTTCCCTTGAGGTGCTTTCTGTCCGTTATTGGATGGCACCTCCCCCACACTCATAAGTATAAAAGTATGTATCCAATGTTAATCAATGAATAGAATAACAGTTATAACACTAAAATAAATTTTGTAATGTTAATCATAGCAATTGCTTTCAAAGAAGTATTCTTTTACATGGTGCAGTACCTCTGTAGGCGAAGGCTGATTTTATTTAAGGTTGATGCTGTCAGGACGTTCACTCTTTTTTCCCACTACAAAAACATAAAAGGACCTTCTTCCAAGGTACACTGTGTAGAAAAGGGGGGAGGGGGGGCGGAACTGCCAAAAAGCTGTACTTCTAAGCAAGACAACTGGCCCATTAACAAATGTCTCCGTCAGTATTTTACCATCTGCTGTTTGCTCTGTACTTGTCAATATTGAGCATCACTCACAGTTCATATGACCGTATAAACTCTCAGAAAGCAGATTACCAAGGTAAAAAAAAAAAAAAAAAAGTGAATTCAAAGATGGTTTTAGAATGTGACAACACATTCACCACACAAGTGTATAATTAAATGATTAGGAAGTCTGCAAGCTTCATGTGTCAGGAGGAAATTCCTCATAATTTCTAACGGTGGATTAAATAGGACTGGCAAATTATGCAATCCTGTCTCTACTTCTCCCCCTGACTCACCAAACTTTTTACCCACTCATCCAATTCAGAAGCCTCAGCTTACCCACATTAACCTGCTCAAATTCAAAACACAGGGAAATTTTTAATTATTGACATCAAAAAGGGAAATCGATATTATGGAAAGCCAGGAGAATGTACAGCACAAAAAATATTATATTTTGCCTTTAAAGACCTTAACTGTTTTCACACAACAGACTTTTTCCCCTTATGTTTTGCTTCTTTGCATAGATTCAAACCAAACAGAAAGCAGGGGTTGTTTGCAGAGATAAAGTTGGTGGTCCTACATGGCAGGATTTAATTTTTTTTAATATTTATTTATTTCTGAGAGAGAGAGAGAGAGAGAGAGAGCAGGGAAGGGGCAGAGAGAGAGGGAGACACAGAAGCCAAAGCAGGCTCCAGGGTCTGAGCTGTCAGCAAAAAGGCTGATGAGGGGCTAAAACTCACAACCATGAGATCATGACCAGAGCCAAAGTCGAACGCTTAACCAACTGAGCCACCCAGGTGCCCCCCTATATGATGGGATTTAAAGGGAGCTGGAAAAATCAACTTCCTTCCCACCTGCAATTAGTCATTCCTTGTTTTATACAACTTTTTCTTTCCTGAAATATTGTTTTATTTTAAAATGCCCCTGTGAGGGTTGGCAGGTTAAATCACTATCAGTTTAAAATGAATGAATTTATTATTATGATTGAGAAGACAAAACAATACATGAACAATAACTGACTCGGGAAAACAGGAGAATTATTGCATCCTGTCTCATGTCAATGCACAAATTCTATTTACAGATGTTTCTCCTTGGATTTAAATATTCAAGTGCCTCTGTAAGTCATTAGAAAACAGCAAAGGTAAGAAACAAATATATTAGCCTTTTACCTTGAAAGATAATACTCCCCCTTTCTTAGTAATATTCTGGAAATGGTATCAATTTGATCTTATTATCAATACCATGAGTTTTACAAATGTGAGGTTATAAGTAATCTGTCTTCCAGCTCATTCCTGTAAGATTTGAATATGATAAAATCTCATACCTACACAAAGAAAAAAAGAAAGAGAGAGAAAGAAAGAAAGGAAAGGAAGGCAGGCAGGCAGTATCACTTGAATTACCTTGAAACAGCGTCTGCATGTAAAATTTTTACCTATATACAGACATGTACTATTTTAATGAAGTAATGGAAATGAAGGTCATCTCGCAAACACAACGAACAAATGCTAAGTATGTTCTGAGTATAAAGGAAGCAGAATCTGTGCTAAAGGCTACAGAGACATGTTCAAATCAGACAAGGGCTCACATAATAGTAACGAATCCATATTAAAAAAAAATACAAATAAAAAGACCTAATAAAATATACATTTAAATTTATAAGATTAAAAATAATATTTAATCCCTTGGGTATTTTATTCCAATGTAGTAGCAAACAAAAATGTATTTTCTACACATTCTTAAATTATTTTAATGTAATCAAAACTAAGACTTGAAAAAAATTATCCAGCAAGTAAAATCCATTTACAAGAATGTTTGCCAATGACAGCACCCTCTTGGGCATAACTACTAAATGCTGCATTGTATGTAAACTAGAGCTTTCATTTGCGTTTTCATGATATAAAGAATCAGACTTAAAAAAACTGTGAAAAGAAATATTTATTCTTGATATTCAGAAATGTAAAATCAAATAAACCTGCAAAATAACTAGACACTTGAGTTGCTGATATATGTACATATATATAATTTATATACAATTTCTTATTTATAGGCAGACATCTTACAGATTCCTAATGAAATATGAATGAGAAAAGAGCAGAAACAAACCTTTATTGAAATAAGAATTGGGGAGCAGTTGAAAGTTTAAGTGAAAAGGACTGAAAAAAAAAATGCCAAAGGTCAAAAGTGAAAAACACTTATTGAAACTTTTGGTAGGAGGCAAATATACACTGCAAGGAATACTGAGAAAAGATGTTCAATTCCTATTCTCAAATAATAGATAAGAAAAATTTAATAAAATAAAGTACATTAAGCACATCCCTAGAGAAAAGTACAAGGTCGAGTGGGACCCAGAGGAACGTTTGATTAACTCTGGAGCAAAGGGGGAATTGGAGGGGGTCAAGGAGGGCTGCAGGTAGACAGAGTTCTGGACAGTCTATCTGATTTTCAAATCAGATTTCAGAAATTATTTTCATAGTCCTTTGCTCCTCTTCATAAATTTTAAATAGCTTACAAGAAAAGTGACACAGGAAAAAGAAAAAGAGAAAGCGAGAAGGAAGGAACAAAGAAAGAAGGAAAAAAGAAGAAGGAAAGGAGAACGGAAGGAGAAAATAGGAAGGGAAGAAGAGAAGAAAGAAATGGGGAAAATACTGAAATTATCATATTAAAATTTATCATAGATAAAATCTGTCATACAAAGATGACAAGTAGGTGGGTGGGTGGGTGGATGGATAGATAGATAAAGTAGGTAGGTAGGTAGGTAGGTAGGTAGGTAGGTAGGTAGGTAGGTACTTAGCAGGTCAGGAAAGAGACAAAAAGAGATTATCAACCTCCAAGATCATTTGCCAATTACTCTAAGGCACAAACATTTTTTGAGAGCAATGTATCTTGCATATAGAACAAAGAATAAGGACCATTCCCAAAGGAGCAACATGTACAAGTTTATTTGGGGGAGATTTTAGGGGCTTGTTTGGTTTTGGTTTTGGTTTGTTTTCCTAGGATCCTTTCTATTAAAAAAAAAAAAAAAAGATTTCTCAAAAAAATGACAAACATGTCTGGCTACTATTAACATTGACTATATTATAAAGTTCCTAAGCCCTGATCATATTGGAAGCTCTGAGCTTCCAAATCAGTTTTATGTACTTGGGGTAGATAAATTACACATTAGCCATTACATTTAATTACCTGTAGTTATTGCATATAAAACATGAAGAGGTAGAGAAGTAATAAGGAAGAGAAAAACCAAGCCATAGCACCAATGGCTTAAGTTACTAGCTTCAAATTCAGAATAAACCCAAATATCAGAAGTAAACGAATCAAAGGCCATTTTCCTGTGAAAGGAGGGGAAAAAAAAAAAAAACAGTAAGTATAACAGGAAAAGAATCAAAGAGGTTTAAAGCCACTTCAAACCTTTATTAGTGAGGAGAACATAAATCTATTACTCCCCTCTCTCTGTTTTACTAAATAGAAATAACCACCAGATTCTAACATATTTTATCAGAATGGAGAGTCATTCTGCAAAACAACATCTCTCTTACTTGAAAGAGTTTACATTTTCTTGTCCTTTAAACCTCTCTCACCCTCAACCACAAAAATAGAAACTAACAGTGAGAATCAGAATAAGTGACAGTAAAAACTAGCATTTCCCATTTCTCAGAAATTATGGGAAGTGGTCTACCTTTAAAGCACGTGATAGGCAGATAATGCAGGCATTCACTTTGCAGACATATTTATTGAATGCCTATTACATATGTAGGATATTATTGTAGACATTAGGAATACTATATTGAACGAAAAAGACAAAAATTGCAACTCTGACAGACTGTACCATCTACAGGAGTAAAATGAGCTGCAGAGAACTTAAAAGATAACTTGCTTAACATTGCATACTGAGTGACTGACAAGGGCAATGTCAAGCGGTCTAATCCCAGTGCTCTTTCCTTTAACCATGTGCTTTGTTGCTATGGAAGTAAAATCATACTTGCCATGGCTTGCACACGGCATTCTGCTTTTCAGACTGCAGATTTTTCCACTTAATATTATATTAGTAATTCAGTGTAATACAGTTATCGTTAAAAAAATAAATAAACCTCTAAGCACAAAACTCACATTAAGTATGAAAAGCGAAAGTGTTTATTCTAAAAGTGTTTAAGGAAATAAACTGAGTATTATGTTGTTCACTGATATGAACTGTTGGTTACAATAAGTAATTTATTTGACTACAATTAATAGTCTAAAGGAAGTTAGAATAGCATGCTTGTCTACCTGTACTTACAATAGTTCAAACTTTGCTCAATGTTTAGCAGTAAGTATATTTTCCTCGGCCTATAAAAATATCTTGTAGCAGAAGAACATGATAAAGTCAGGCCAACAACTCATTTCAATAGTCTTCAGTCTCCTCCAATGTATGTAAAAAAATAAAGTGAGCATAGGACACATTCCTTTTATTTTCTTCTTCTTCTTATTTTTTTTTTTTAGAGAGAAGAGATGCCCTCTTTCTATCAAAATATATAAGTAAACTTTAAAAAAGCCTGGGGCACCTGGGTGGCTCAGTCGGTTAAGCATCCAACTCTTGATTTTGGCTCAGGTCATGATGTTGCCCTTCTTGAGTTCTAGTCCTGTGTTGGGCTCGAAGCCAACAGCAATGGAGCCTGTTTGGGGTTGTCTCTCTCTCCCTTTCTCTCCCCCTTCATGTGTGCATGAATTCATTCATTCATTCATTCATTCATTCATTCATTCTCTCTCTCTCTCCCTCCCCCACCTCAAAAGTAAATAAATAAACTTGAAAAAAACAGACGCCCAACCAAGACACCTAGGTGCCCCCCCCCCCCCCGTTTGGAATTCTTTAGATCCTCTATTTCCTCCTTTCTGAATAGTTACACACTTTCTGTATTTGTATTTACAACATTTTTAGATTGTGATTATCCTTAACAATATTCATTTTGCCTAAAATTGAGCATTTGAAAAATGCAAACGTCTGTGCTGATACAGCCCACAAACGAGTAGAAAACCTGAAGGTCTATCAGTGATTACAATTTAGTCAGTGTGTTAATGAAGTATTTACACAAAGGAAGAGCAATATTAGCAAAGATGGCGGCATTTCACGGTTTCTGACTACCAAAGTTTTTGAGAATATAGTCATAATAACGAACGTGCTAAGCACATATGACCTCAGTTAATCATCTTTGCCCTGTTTTGTGACAGGCAATTTTATACAAACGAGACACACAGAGGTTAAGTAACTTGCCAAAGTAACACAGTAGTGGAGTCAAGATTCCTATTGCTGACTAAATAAGACTTTCAACTGGGTCTTGAAAGATGAAACAGTTCTTAGTAGATGATAAAAGGGGCAAAAGACAAGCCAGGTGGTGGGAATTATACGACCAACAGCAGAGTGTCATGAGCAGGGGAAAGGACCGGTGAGACCAACCAGTGGGATAGGATTACAAGGTGGACAGAGTGGCCAAGGCAAAGCCTTGGAGGGAGTCTGTGTCCAACTGCTCTTTCCCCTAAATATCTAGAGATGAAGTCAGTCCTTACACATCAGGACCGTAGGAGGCTGAGATCAGAGCACAGTCACTTAAGCACAAGAAAGGACTCAAAGACCTTAGAGCCCCTATCCTAACAGCCCCTTCCTAACAGGGAGGAGAGAGACTCACAGAGGAGGAAACAGCACTTTGCAAGAGAAGGATCATGATTGCTTCAGGATTCTTATTGCAGCGAATCAGCTAACTTACTCTTCCCATATTAAAAACAAATACTCTGTTCAGAGAAGCTTATTTTCAACAATATAGTTTTCAAGTCACAAGTTTATGGGTTTTTAAAAATTCTTTATTATTCACTATGTGTTGAATGACATATTTATTACATAAATACCATGTGTACACGTGCATGTATATACACACTAACATATCCAGAGAAGTTAAATGCTGCTGTTGGACACACGACACATAAAATAAACGTCATTTCAGAACCGCTTTCCTCATGTCTGAGTGAAATCTCACTACAAAATCACTGTAATTTTTCCTTCCTTCTTTGCTTCCATTCTCCCTTCCTTCCTCTTTCCTTCTTCACCTCTTTCCTTCCTACCTTTTTTTTTTCCTTCTCATTCTTTTAATTATAAATTAAGAGCTCTTTTGATATTGGAACAGAGACCTTTCTACATTTCAGTAATTCAAATCTAACCAAAACAATCACCAATATCGGGCCAGATTCTGATTATTATGAAATCAGGTTTCCAGCTTCAGCAAAGTCACAATCAGCACTGAAATCACTCGTGCTTCCACTCATTTCTTTTTATCTCTGTTGTGATTTAAAAAAAAACTGTGTAGGTTAAATAGCTATGTAGGAATTGAACTATGCTTACAGGATAGAAAAAGAATTTAGAAAAAATAATGTTCTTGGGTGTCTGGGTGGCTCAGTCGTTGAAGCATGTGACTTCGGCTCAGGTCATGATCTCACGGTTGTTGCGTCCGAGTCCCACACTGGGTGAGCTCGAGGCTTGCTTCAGGTGAGCCCCGCTTCTCTCTCTCTCTCTCTTTCCCTCACTCTCTTTCTTTCTGCCTCTCACACAATTGTCTCTCTCCCTCACTCCGTTCATTTTCATGCTCTCTCTCTCTCAAAAAAAAAAAAAAGTAAAAGAAAAAGTCAAAGGAAAAAAATGTTAAGTTTCAGTTTCTATTTCCCTTCTATAAACTGGCAGAGGGGGAAATTGGTGACAATCCCATGTTACAGGTTCAAATCCCTCTCTGTGTAAATGAGCAAAAAACTAAAAGGCTCCATCTCCCTTCTCACCTTCTTTTCTTTCCACTTTATAACCTCCATTTAAAAAAACATTTAAGCTCCAAAGTGGGGGTGCTTAGGAGAATCACTACAACTCACCTCTATCTTCTCTAGGTTAAACGCACCTACAACTAATAGTGAGCATTCTACATTTAAGTCACCAACACACATTCTTCCAATTTTCCAGATTTATAGCACAATTCATTCATTTATTCAGCTATGTTTCTTTGACACCCACCATATGCCAGCTATTGTGTTAGGCATTAGAAATAAAAGATAAGTGGCGCCTAGGTAGCTCAGTCAGTTGAGCGCCCGAATTTGGCTCAGGTCATGATCTCAATGTTTATGAGTTCGAGTCCCGCATCAGGCTCACTGCTGAGCCCACTACAAGCCCACTCTGGATCCTCTGTTCTCTTCTCTCTCTGCCCCTCCCCACTCACACTCTATCTCTCAAAAATAAATTAACTTAAAAAATAAAGAACTAAAAGATAAATGAGACACACATTCATTCATTCATCCCTTCAATATATTGACCTTTCTTACAGACTGGGGCTACAGCAGTGAATAAAAAGGCAAAAATCTCTATCCTAATGGAACATGCCTTGTAGTGAAGAAGGTAAAAAAAAAAAAAAAAAAAAAAAGGTGAGAAACAAATATTTAAATAATTGCATTACCTAAATCTAAGCGCTAGAGAAAAATACAATTTGGGAAATGGGATAAGAAGTGTCAGAGTAGAGCTGTAATTTTAGAAGGTAGACAAGGTTTAGTTTCTGTTTTCAAAAAACTCATTAAAAAAAGGCTTATTTAAAAATATTTTTTTAACTTTTAAAAAATATATGGCGATACAATGTGAGAGATGTTATGAAGGTTATTAACAAAATGCAACTTATCTAACAGAAGGAGCTATGAAAGAATCACAGAGGGAAAGAATCAGCTGTAAAAGACAAGAAGACATGAACAAAAGGGCTGGGCAGGACAGGCAAAGGAACAGTATATGCAAACTCACAGAGCCAGTAGTTCGGCGGTAGCTTCTATTTTTCAGTGTACAACAGCAATCACCATTTAATCCAGAGCCTTCCATGTCCCAGACACCCGCACCTTATTACCCTCACAATATATTTATGGCTATATTAAAGTTATTCCATTTTTTAAAATGATGAAGTGAGACCAGAATGAAATCTTTCAATCTTAACAAACAGGTCGAGGCCAACAGGTTGAACTTGATCCTGTAAGCAATGCAATACACTGAAATTCTTCAAATAAAGAAGGAGCATGGTCACATGTTTATCTTTGCTTGCTTGTTTTTTAAGATACTGGACAGCAATGTGGAGGACAGAATGTGGGATTTGGTGACGACAATGTTAACATACTATTATTTTTAATAACAAAATGCCCTAAGAGGTGGAAAAGGCTTCCTCTAAGCCAGTATCACTGGGGACAGAAAATGGGGTAAGGAAAAGATGTGGTAGCCCATTGATTCTGGGTGCGAGGGGTACAGAAGAGCATAAAAAGGGAAGTCCTGATGAGCCTAGGTTTCCTAGCTTAGAACACTGCAAGGGTGATGCCGTCAGCCAAGAGAAAAGGAAGACTGTTTGGATAAGAAAGGAT